ATAGTGACACCTGCACAGGACCCACTCCTAAAAACAAGCATCAAGTTAAGAATTTTTCAGATAATCAGGAGACAATTCCTGATACATTGTTGGGTAAGGGTGGAAAATCACCTTCATTGTATGACCAGAGTTGCACAGCCACATTTGCATAAGAGGTGGATCCATTCTTGCTTTGAATTTACGGAAATTGTGTAATTTCTGGGCCTCAGAAGCAGTGCTCAGAAATTGTCCCTCAGTGTTTCAGTCCTTTGCAAAATTCACAAGGGCTACAGTTYAATTTTTGCCAAAATAAACCTCTTTTGACCCTTCATCAATCACTTTGTGGGATGCCTGCACAAAGAATGTTATATATAATTAAATAAATATTAGATGCTTTAACATACACTTCCTTTCTTACCTTCAGTGTAGGTTTCTGGAATTTGTTTGCTTTGGGAACAGACTTTTTGAAGAAGTTAGGTGAATGGTTTTGCATGTCCTAAAAAAAAACCCTGGTTATTTAAAGTCAATGAATAAAATTTAAAAAAAAAAATTATGTGGTTCATTCAACAAAATGAATAAAAGCCATAATTTGATTTTAGGGCTGCATTTAGGACTTTCTTCCTTTACTTCTACCACTTCAGGGAGCGGTGGGAGAAGAGAAGAAAGCAGAGGGATGCTAATGGCRCAAAACAGCAAGCACAAAAATATAATTGGATTTGAAATGGTCATTTCTGTGGAGAAACCCCCCAAGAATGTGACGCTGATGATTTTAAAGAGTAATTTCCAGCTACAATGAGTTGAGCCCTGGGCTCCCTATCAGCCGCTGAATGAACAGTTAACGTGGCGCCTTTTCCACGCCAATCCGGCACCTCAACTTTTCCAAAAAATTGCTTTTCTTCCAGAGTTGTCATTGATGCGGTTGTCAGAGTGTCTGTTAGTGCTAGGGAATATTTCACAGCCCCCATACAGAGGGCTGTGCCCAACCCACGAACCCTCAGATGTCACCAGCGGGTCAGGAGGGAGTGCCGCGTCCTCTCTTGTATCTCCCGCTGCCCCCTGTCCCCTCGACTCGTGGTGAAGCTGAGATATAATTATGCAGGGGGTGTGGCTATCAAATGTGATATTACAATTTACAGGACCTGGAGCTTTGTGGGCTCTTTCTCGGTGTTCACCAATTAATCTTCCTTTCCCTGACTGCGCCGCTTTATCTCTGCCTTGCACTCGCTGAGGCTGAAGCTCGCAGGTCAAATGTCTTGCTCGGGGGTTAAATGTCTTGCTCACAGCCCAGAGTGGAGACAGCAGCTGTCAAGAAAGTTCTTAATYATAAAGTCCATCTCCTGTTTTTCACAGTTTGTCCATGGCCTTTACATTCAGAGGAATACCATTTTTGGCAGCCTGGCCTAGAAGATGGGAGCAGCCCAGGGGTGGGGAGCATCCTCGTCCTGTCCCTGCTCTGATGACCCTTTGCTGCTTGGGCTTKCTCTGTCAGCTAAAACAAGGCTCACCTGAAACAGAGGCCAGACAAAATTTAGAGAATGAGAATAGACAGCTTTAATCCAGGCCTACTGATACATTAGAGCAGAAAAAGCCTCTTCCTGAGGCTGCACCCAAAATGACAAAGAGTCGCGAGATCTTGTCCCTTTATAAGTTCTGCCTTATTAACATATTGGGCCTCAATTCCCCAATGATATTTTCAAGTGATGATGTCAACCACCCCAAACTTGCTCCCCCCCAGCTCTCTGTTTCCATATTTTGGGGCTCTGAGGCAGCGAGATGTCCTTGGATTCAGGCTTGGAGAGGAATTGCTTTATCTAAAGATGGGAGAACAGCATTTTTTTGTGCTATACTAGAGAAACGTAAGAATACTGATGCATGGAAATATAGAGACTAAAAAATTTTAAGGCACCATTTTCCCCCAGCCATCCTCCCATGATTTTATTTTATGGGAATAAATTGGATATTCTGACAACACAAATTTCCAATGGTGTGTGAAGGTTTCCAACCGTTGCTTTCTGTTTACTGTGAGGACTTGAGGAAGTGGCGTCAAGTTGTGTCAGGGAAAATTTTGATTGGGTATTAGGGAAAATTTCTTCATGAAAGGGCTGTCAAAATTGGAATGGGCTGCCCTGGGAGGCGGTGAAGTCACCAGTCCAGGAAGCATTTGAAAGGCATGTAGAAGTGGCACTTGAGGCCATGATTTAGTGGTGAAGGCCTTTTCTGACCTTAATGATTCTGTAATTTCATGTTAACATGTTATTACTGTAGGTGAGGTGTGTCAAGAACAAGAGTGAGACAGGTTTTGCAGGAGATTTGTTCCAACACAGCAACAGATGGAGAAAAACAGGGGAGATAGAGGCCCATGGCTCTCAGTGAGACATTGGGACACCAGAAGTGATGACCTCCCCTTTGGATCAGCCCAGAGGCCAAATTTGGTAATGAAACTGCTGCAGTGGGTGCATTTCAAATACCAAAAATATYCTTTCTTCAGAAGCTGTCAGACTGTTAAATTACTTCCTAACCTTTGTTCAAAACTGTGTTTAAGGCCCTTGTCATGTGAGTTAACAGCTGAAGAGCTCTTACACCCCTCTCCACAGATAAAGTTTAGACTTGTACTGTAGTASCTGCTCTTATCATCTTTCAGCACATGTGCTTCTTGTCAGCCAGAATAGAAATTGTAAGAAATTCCTGGTGTTATTTGCTTCTTGCCTGGCTGACACCTAAAAGGTAACACAATTCAGTAAAAAATATATCCTAGTACCAAAAAGGAAACCACAAGACTTCAGTATGAAAAATAAATTTGTGAAGATGCAGGCAATGAATGGTGAAAAATGCCATTTGATGTGTTGGATCTCATCAAATATCATACTGATTTTATATTTATGTGTGATAAACCCATATCCAGCAGCATCTCAGCTTTTCCAGGGACATGAACAACWAAGTGGGGTACCCCAAGCACTCCTYGATGTCAGCTCTGAGAAACCCARGCAGCATTTCATCTCACCTCCTGTTCTGCTCCACATCAGTAGGGAAGCAGAATCTTTTGAAATCTCCTACAAAAGCATGAAGGTTGTGCCTGAATATCCTGCAGTATCCTGGATGTATCCTGGATATCCCAGCAGGGTGTCTGGTGCCCCAGGGTGGCACTTCAGGTTTTAGGAGATCCCTTCCAGCTCCTGCTGCTCAAATATCGTAGCTGGATATCCTGAGCATGAGAGTTGGCTCTCTGGGGAGGGAGCTCTCTCAGAAATCTCTGATAATAAAATAATTCCTTATTAAATATGCATTGACCCAGATAAAAGGTGAGGAAAAAGAAAAATCTTGGAAAATAACCCAGAAAAGACCTGAGAGTTTTGTCAGAATTATGTATCCCGCCATGAGAGAGCTGGGGTTTTATAGAATAGTGTTTTCTGAGGACAACACAAGTTTCTTAGGAAATTTGCACCAGCTTTAGTTTAAATTAAACTTTTGACAAATCACAGAATCATARTTTGGGTTGGAAGGAATTTTTGAAAGTCAACTTCTTCCAACCTCCTGCCATGGGCAGGGACACCTTCCACTATCCCACRGTGCTCCAAGCCCTCTCCAACCTGGCMTTGGACACTTCCAGGGATGGGGCAGCCACATCTTCTCTGGACAACCTGTGCCAGGGCCTCTCACCCTCACAGGGAAGGATTTTTTCCTCATTTTCCACSTAACTGTKGYYTCTCTCAGTTKGAAGMYATTCCCCCYTGTCCTATTACTCCATGCCACCGTAAAAAGTTCCTCTCTCCAGATTTTTTGGAACSTTGCACAGTGCACATGATCATGAAGGTGCAACTGAGCTTCAGGCAGGTAGAAAATCAAGTCTACCAGAATTAGAAATTGATATCCTGGAAACCATAAATATCCCTAATTTGAAGCTCTCAGTTGCTTTAATATGATGGTAACAGGATGAAACAACAGAGGGGAGGAAACCACTGCCAAACTGTTTCAATATGTAGTGGTTATTTATTGAAACAATATTAGCTAAGAAATTTTGTGCAATTAAGTGTGAAAATTGGGCTGGGATACACTAGAACTATAATAAAAGGATAAATCCTTTATACAAGCGGAAAAACGAAAAAGCAATGCAGGTTSATGTCTGGGTATGGCTCACCCTCTTGTGTCTTTATCGAGAACTGCAGTGCTGTGGAGAAAATGATTTTTTCTGTCCTGAARCAGGAAGGGAGGGTGATAAGTAGTTCTGCCCTGCTCAAGGCTGGTTTAAGTGATTCGAGGGATGGAGGAAACCAGGACCCTTTGAGAAGCAGCTGGAGGTCTGGTGGGACACCCCAGCATGGTGCAAGGTTAGCGTGAAAGAGGCACATGGATAAAGTTATTATTTTGCACCTGCATGCAGAGATGTAGCAGAATCTTTGTSATTAAATCAGAGTAAAAGTTTCAGTTCAATATGTGTCTCTCATTTTRCCTGTACAAAAAATGTCATCCTTTTTAGCTTTGTATTTCTTTTGCTTTCTTATCCACAATTATGTGAAGTATAAAAGACACTCAAAATATCCATAAGGAATTTTCCAAATTAAAAAGACAGSCCTTGATTTATAAACAACTTTAATSAAAAGGTCTGTTTGTGARTTRATGGTAATGGTAAATCGGGTTTATTTATCAGGAGGACATTCCATTGATCGTCAACAAAAAGTTAACAGAARAAAGTTTAGTGGCATTTCATGAATTATGCAAAAAAATCCTGAAGTGTTTTAAAAGTGTCTTTCCATTAAAAAAAGATAAATCAGTGGCAGATCCACTGCAAGGAAACACACAAAATAACACATTAGTAGCTTAAGCATGATTTCTACAACACCTAAAATAACATCAGAGGTTATTTTGAGCTACTAGTCTAATTTAGGGCTGAAGTAGTGGCCAGATTGCAGATAAAGTCTATACCTAAAGGTCAATCTGAGAAGATGCACTTTAGTGAATACACTTTAAAGTGAGTTCTACTCTTTCCTTTTAATCTCACAGCTGCTGTAATGGCGATCAGGACTTTAGATGATTTCAGTRGTGCATTTGCAGCTTGCAAGGCACTTCTTCTTCACCACTGAGTTTCTACAGCCAAACACCGTTTTCAGATTTGTGCAGTTTTCGAGGAGGTCTTGATACTTGCAAGGGTTGGCTAAAATAAAAGAGAGAAAAACAAACACATGAAATATTATTTGGAAACCAAGTCCTKCTCTGATACTTCTGCATTTTCCAGAAATTCCAGTTTTTCATGTCTATATAAACTTTGTGCTTTTGCTCTGCTGCTACAATGGCTTGAATATTATAGTTTTTTTTTTTGTGGTTGTGTTGTTTCTTTTTTTTTTTGTTTTTTTATTTTTTTTTTTTTTAAGGACAATGGAGTAACTTACTGCAAAGCCCCTTGTCACAGTGGCCAGGACAGTCAGCACATTTGGGTCCATTTCTGTAAGGCATAGCTATTTGCATGGGGTTATTTCCTCTGAAATTTGAAAGAATTACAAGACATGAGATCAACATGAAGCTCTGGGGTATCAACAGGAGTTTATGTTATTTACTGCAATGAAAGGAATCCTAAAGTTTTTGTATAGAAGTATTTTTATAAGCAGTCATGTTTTAGTTTCAGATATTTATATAATAAAAAAAAATATTTTAAATAAGGGGGACAAAAAGGTTTAGAGAAACAAAATTAATTGATGACATTTGTATAACATTATCTGTTAAAAAAAAAATATGATCTTCCTAGCTCTGCTTCTCTAATATAGTTCAAGTGATTGAGGCAATCATACAAGCACAGAATCACAGAATGTTTTGGGCTGGAAGGGACCTTAGAGATCAYTTAGTTCCAACCCCCTGCCATGGGCAGGGACASCTCCCACTAGACCAGGCTGCTCCAAACCTCCGCAAAACCCTTATGAAATGCAGTTCTTTAGTGCTGTGAATATTAATTTGCTGTTGGCTTCCATTGTGCATCAGATTTTCTTCTTTGTGGTCATAATGATCTGTGCCTGATGCCTGAATCTGACAGAGACAAACCCTTGTTCAACTGATAAAATTTCCCTAATATCCCTTTCGATGCAAAATAAAACAAATATTGATATTCAACATGCAGTTAAATCCACAATTCACATCGGTATTTTCAAAAGTATAAATGGTTAGAGTAGATTGCAATAATTTTATCCTGTGGCCAAGGGTGTTTTGGAAACATATCCACAATCATCACCACTGAGTAAGAAGGGAGTACGTACGCAGGGCAGTATTGGCACACGTAAAAGTATTTGTATGGGCCCACGGCACATTTGGAAAAGCCACATCCAACCTTGTAACTGTTGTACCAGATCAGCTGTAGAGCAAAAAACAATAATGAAAACATTATTTCAGAGTCATCCCTCTTGAACTCTCATAAAAAACCTCACAAAATTACAGAACCAGAAAATAATTCTTTCTTTCTTTTTTATTTTTTTTTTCTAGTCAGCTTTTAAGTTTAAAGTTTAGCTGTCAGAAAGAATACATAGAAAAATGAATTTCCTCCAGTTTCTAAGTGTTTTCAAATACAATTCACGGCCGGAGACTAAAGCTGAAATTCAGATATTTCCATCATAGATATATTTCTTTGACACTTCYTATTGAGGTATTTCAATCCTTGTGTAGAAAAATATTTATTTCTAGATCAAAGGTTTTTCTACAGACTAATATTTCCTTTCTGCTCTTCCAAAATACTGGTTCCGTTGCCTCCTAATTAGATGGAAAAGGATGAAAATTTATCCTTCATCTTTGGATCAGAGTGTGAATTATAGATAATAATTTGATGGTATTGATAATTTTTTCCTGGTCATAAATAACTCCCAGCTGCCTTCAGTATACTCCTGCAATTCTGGTGTATTCCTGCATTTTGTTTCCAGTCTCCATACCTGAGTGTAGCTCTGAATATTGACATTTCTCGAGATTGCTCCATATCCATATCTGAAATTGGAGGACTGGCTGTGCCACACCTGGATTATTTCAGTCCATGATCTTTGGACGGAGGACAGCAACACATTCTCACCACAGGCAACACCTGGAGTAGAAGTAAATTTATTTTACTGAGAGAGAAGCAAGCTGTGGAGTGGGAAGGAGGAACAGAAAGGCTGTAGCTATATTCTGAAAAAAAAAAAAAAAAAGCCTATGCTGCCACTCACTTTGCCTTGTGATTTTAAGGGGTTCCAACAAGCTGTCTTTCAGTGTATTCATCTGACAAAAATTATGTTTTTGTGTTTAATAATCACAGAATCACAGAACAGTTTGGGTTGGAAGGGAACTTGAATCACCTTGTTCCAACCCTCCTGCCATGGGTGGTGACACCTCCCACTAAACCAGGTCAAAAAGGTATTTTAATAACAATAGATATTGTAATAATCCTAAAAAGCTATTCTACAACAGATTAAAAGTCATCCTCCTTTCTATTTCACATTCACAGGGGTCATTGCAAGCTGTTATTAACCCATCAGCTGAGGTTCCATCCTTGCCAGTACCATTAATAATTCTCTTGTCTCTTGGACTGACTTTCATTGCACACTGATCTGCCCATTTCTGAGCATTTTTGGCAGCTTTGTTACTCCATTCCTGAAAAACACAAAGGAAGAAATATACAGGTCATAGATAGGTTAGTGCAGAAGAAAATCAAAAAGGAGAATGACTTTGGTGCTGCACCTGTGGCCCTCAATGGAAAAGGAGGAATTGTGCTGGTTTACACTCCCTGGGCACAGGAACCACATTTTTTTTTCTGCTCTTGAAGGTTTCAGAGAAGGTTTTTCTGCACAGCTCTATCACACAGCCCCTGATCTCCAGAAGGTGCAGACTAATAGGGTTTTTATATCCTAAAGCTGCTTTCTTTCAGCTTTGTGAGTGAGTGAGCACTGCAAGATGCACTAAACAGCAGAAAACTGATTTTCAGCCCAGGTGCARCTGAGTTGGGGTGAGAGATGTGAGCTGGGCTTTGAACCTGGAGAATATTTGCAGATCTCTGTGCAGATTTAACCACAAAACACTGACCAGCTCATCTGCCCATGGAACAGGGATAACAAGGAATGTCAGGGGTGGCAGGGAAGGGAGAGGTTATGCAGGTCTAGATCTCTTTTATCCTGCTGACACTGTAAGATTCAGAGGCTGTTGATTGAGCTCCTACTCCCCCTTAGCCACCCACTCCTGCTCTTTCCTTCATCCAGGGTTTGGGTTTCTCTTTTGAAAATCAGAGAATCTTTGATAGTTTGGGTTGGAATGGGMCTTGAAGGGTCATCCAGTTCAACCCCTGCAATGAGCAGGGACATCTTCARCTGGACCAGGTTGGTCCAAGCTCCTTCCAGCCTGGCCTTGACACATCCAGGGATCCAGGGGCAGCCACAGCTTCTCTGGGAAACCTGTGCCAGGACCTCCCCACCCTAATCATAAAAATCTTCTTCCTACAGCTGATCTTAATCTACCTGCTTTCAATTGAAAATCTATTGCAAGGAGCCCTGATAAAATGTTTTTCCTCATTCCTATAGATCTCCTTTAGGCTCAGGAAGGGGCTCTAAAGTCTCTTTGGGTTCTTCTCTTCTCTGGGCTGAGCACCCCCAGCTCTCCCAGTTTGTCTCCAGACCCTGGAGCATCCTGCTGGCTCATGTTGAGTTTCTCATCCATGAACACCTCCAAGTCCTTCTCATCAGGCTGCTCCTAATCCCTTCATCCCAGAGCCTCCTTTGAAGCTGGTTTTGTCCTATTTCCTTTAAGGGGAAAGCAGGCTGGCTGTAATTCATAGCTCACCATCTTCAGCATGTTCCTGGCTGTGGGAATTACAGATCTCCGTATTTCATTGTGTTGCTCAAGGATCTCTTTTTGACTGTGAGTTTTAAAATGAGGAAAGGAGAGCAAGTTCACTTTTTTATGTGCAATAGCCTGGAAAAAATAACAGTGAAGGTCCCAGTTAACAGAAGTGTAATAAACAAGATAAATTATGAGCTTTGTGTCACTTTTGTTTGATCAATTGAACCTACCCTAATAACTGGTGTCATAAATCTTRTTTAACTTAAGATATTTATGGTGGTAGAAATAAAATCTCAGACAATTGTTTTAGGCTGTAGCTATACTCAGGTAAAGGAAAGTATCAACTTACAACATGGTTTACCTGAGATTTATTAAAAAAAAATTATCATTTTCTTTCCTGAAATAACTGTTTCTTTTCATTCACTCATAAGAATGAAATGAAGAGAGACATTCAAGTGCCTGCTTAGTAGATCTCTACATCTCACAAGATCAGTCCTCTCTACAAGATTTATGAATCAAATTTCTGAATCTTAGCTGAATTAGTTATTTATTTGTGGAAAATGTGTTTTTAAAATTAGTCCCATGAAGGGAAGAATATTTTAATAGGCAGAATCACAGAATTATTTGGGTTGGAAGCTTAAAGATCCAACCCTGTCATGTACAGGGACACCGTCCACTAGAACAGGTTGCTCAACTAATATAATATAATATAATATAATATAATATAATATAATATAATATAATATAATATAATATAATATAATATAATATAATATAATAACTAGAAATAATAATAACTAGAAATAATAATAACTAGAAATAATAAAAATAATAAACAACAGTGAAAAATGACAGTTCATCTTTGATGTGTTACATTAACAATAATTTCACCACTGAATTCTAAAGTTTTAGAGATCACTCGGTCAGACTGCACCRAGTCAGATATCTATACGAAGGAGTTGGATGTGGTAGTTTTGCACAGATGAATGTTCCTACCTGTCCATCAGCATGGTGCAGCAAAGCAGTCAGGCAAATGATTGCAGTTAGTAGATCCATTTCTACAGGGGAAAAAAAAAAAAAAACCAAACCAAAAACAAAACCCCAAAATCTGTTAGTCTTTGTTGCATATGGGTTATGGCATMATGTGGTATGTGAACAAGATAAGAAACTGTTGTAAAGTCAAGCCTGGACAAAGAAGTTTATTTTAGTTGATCCTGAACATATCTGGGTGTGCTGAAACTGCATAGGCACCACAGAGAGRAGACTCCACCTTGCATAAATAACATAAAGTTGTGTTACTTGTAACAGATGGATCAGMCCCATTTTTAACTTCTTTATTCTTTATCTCGAATTTGCAGCATTTCTTTCATCTTTGCCAGCTTGTATATAAAAAATCCTATTAATGAGCTCAATACTGTTACACCAGAATCCTTCTCAAGCCTCAACTGCAGTGAGATCTGGTGTTTTAGAATGGAGCACTGAGCACATGGACTGCTATCTCAATTTCTTTCCCACTTCCCTGTTTCCTCATTAAATCAGCATCATAATGTCTCAACAATTGGTAGTGATCATCCTCATGTTACATCTGACACCTGGACATACAGAAAACCTTCATATATGGTGTTATTAAGAAATAATGTTGGCTACAGCCTTCTTGCTCCTAAAGCACCTCWCACAGATGCACACAGACACTCTGAAACCCACTCATATACACAGGATGCTTTTCTGCATGTCAGAAAAAGCAAAAGTTACATATCTTCGTATTGATGAGGATATATGAGGGAAAATGTCTTTTTTGGTTGTAAAAGAGTAAAGATGTGGCAAAATCCCAAGAAAGATTAGTTTGAACTCAGCAGGTTACCTTAAAGCAGGCTGAGGCAAGAGGGAAGTAGAGATAACAAAAATCAGCAAATATAACAAGCCTTAGAGCTGGCCTCTGAAAAAAATCCATGGTGGGAGCAGTACAGGTCAATGGAGATCTAGGAGATTCTGCTTGATAGGGAAACTATCACTGTACAAAAAAATCCTTCTTATTTCTACTCTAAATTGACCCTCCTTTCGTTTAGAACCACTACCCCTTGTCTGTCTTTTCACTCAGTTTTTCAGTCTTTWTCTTGTTTTCCTGTAATTTCATAAGGAAATAATTTGCATGAGGTAGAGGCCCAGATCTCACTGATATTAATGAAGAATAAATTCCTAAAYTGAAGGGATATCTCTGGCCATGGAGGAATTTTCTTGACCTTACAGAAACAAAATCTTTTTGGGGCTTCTCAGATTAAGTGCTACAAGAGGAAATATAAAGTATTTCTAGATCGGGAGTTAAAGTTGATTAAATACTTCTGCACATCTTTGACTGCCAGACTCTGCCATCAAATCTGTCCCTTGGACTAAATATGTTGGGTTTTGCTTTCAAAGTAAAAAAATGATGGTTCCCAGATACAATTATCCTTCCTTGTCAATAGTGTTCAATCCACTAAATCACTTCTATGCTTCTGAAAAAAAATGACAGCAATGCACTTTTAGGTGGCTCTACTTGAAAACTTGAAGTTTTGTGAAAATTTGWTTGAGTGTAGAAACAAATAAAATAAACACTGATAGCTACAAAGCTAGAAACAAAGTTCCATTTGAAAAATACAGCCTGAACTCTAAGTTTAGTCCTGGTGTTTCATTCCTCAGCAGAAGCTGTCTCCTKCTGTCTGATACAACTTTCAGGGCATAGCAGGTTTGGAAGTTTGGAAGAGTGGAAATATTTGTCTTTCCAGTTACTTTGTTATATTTTTAATCTACCTTCTCTGAGTTTACATCTTTAAATATCATTTAAAAAATAAAATTCTGCATTAAGGAAAGTAATCAGCTTATTGCATGCAATAACATAGATCAGACATTTTAGCAGGATATATGCATGAAAGCTTGGATAGAGAGTTGACATTTAAAAATGACAAAATTCTGAGTTCAGCTATAGTGGTATATCCCAATACTCAAGTGAAAAAAATTCAACATCAAAATAATTCAAAAGACATTAGAAAAGCATCTCCTATAACTGACCACCCTCTGCAAAATGGGTTATTTTATGTTCTCATTTGAAGAATGAAGCAAGTGAGTCTAAATATTACATTTTGATCTAAAGTAATATAGGAACTAGACTCCACTGAAGCCCTTTTTCATCCCTAGTGGTGGAAGGTGGGGTTAAAGAGGAGAAAATATAATTTATTTTACATTCTTCCTCTGAGATGTTATAAGCAGACATTTATTWTAATTTTAATTATCACATTTGGTACAATTTAGCTATTAACTAATTAACCTTCACAGCACAATCAATACTGACCAAGAGGCTCAATGGGCAAAATCTCTAAGGCTGAAATTCAATTTTGCATACATTACCTTCATCCACCAGATCCTTCTGTACCTGAGGAAGTGGCAGGAGAGTGAGAGGCTCTCCCCAGTCCAGGGCTGTATATATATATACACATTTCCCCCTTTTTTTTTTCCTTGTCAATATTTATTGCTGATAAATGACATCAGCTTTGGGGCTGTCCATTGCTGAAGAAAAAACTTTTCTTAAGGAACAGGTGATTGAAAATGAACCAATCCAGCTGCATTGTTCTGGTTTGATTTTTTCCTTGTCTCCAGGGCAAGGAAAAAAGAGAAGACGGAAGACCTGTCCTTTTGCAGAACCTCAGCTTCTAGTCTGATCAACAAGCTAYGGTGCTTATGTGTTCACAAAACAGAGCCTTGAGTTTAGGGCTGGTTTCTTGGCTCTGGCAAAAGGGTGGGATAAGAATTTTGAGGCAGAGACATAGCTGAGCAACTTCTCAGTCATGCAAAGGGTGACTGGCACTGCGGGCAACAGAGTGATATTTTCTTCCAAGTGGTTCTTGAACTTCCATTTGCTGAATAAAACTTGAGTTCCATTTGCTCACTGAAACTGTGGCACCGGGCACCACTTTTTACAAGGACATGGAGTGATAGGACAAAAGGGAATGGCTTTAAACTGAAAAAGGGCAGGTTTAGATTGGATATTAGGAAGAAATTATTAACTATGAGAGTCGTGAGACACTGGCACAGGTTTAAAATGTCCAAGGCCAGGTTGGATGGAGCTTGGAGCACCCTGGSATAGTGGAAACTGTCCCTGCCCATGGCAGGGGTTGGGATGAGAAGAGATTCAAGGTCCCTTCTGACCCAAACCATTCCGTGATTCTGTGATTTTTGTACGCATAACTCACCCCATGTRCTGCTCAAGATTAACTTATTGCAGAACAGCTGCAGATATTGCACRTCTTCCCTCTATAGTCTGGAGAGATACTCTGCTCTGGTGCAGTATAGAAAGGTTGGGTTGGAAGAGACCACAAAAATCATCTTATTCCAACCCCCTTGCCAAGGGTGGGAACACCTTCACTGAACTGAGGTTGCTCCAAGCCCTGCCCAGTCTGGCATCACTCAGCTCGCCTTTCCTTCTTGCAGAGTCTTTACTTCCACTTTCTTATAAGGTACAATATCACAAAGGCAGCTTTGGCAGGTCCTCACTGCTCAAACATAACCTTTCTTGCTTCCTCCCCTGCAGTTTTTTGGCTATCAGAGGGCATAAAGCATCTGCACACCTCCTTATTCCTGTCTTTTTTCTCTTCCTCATCCTGGTCTTTTCTGTGGTGTTTTGCACACTTAGCCCCCTTTGCACCACGAGATCCCTGCCCATACTGCAAGTCAATACTGTCCCACAATTCTGAGATTTCTGTAGAATTTCTGCAGAATTTCTGCAGCTGTTGCCAGGATTTTAACACTGCACTGGGTAACACAGCTGCCTTTGTTCTTTGTATAGCGGGCAGCACTTAGGGAAGTCTCCTGTGATAAGGTCTCCCATATCCTTCTACGTTCTGAGATAAGGCAAAGGCACTTTTTAACCTCAAGTGCTTGTGACAATTTTGATGAGACCAGGGTTATCACCATCAGAAAGCCTCATAATCCACTTAACACAGTTTTTAAGACTGTATTTCTATTGACTGTGAGGGGAGGCACCTCCAGATTCCCARTGTCCTGGGAGATACTTCCACTCTTTTACCTCATCCACAGTACTCAGCACTTTTCATTCATTCACCACAGTCACCTGAGTTTTATTTGTACTGTTAAAATGAAATTATGCTACTACAAGTATTCCTTTAAAGCATGCCCCACCTGTTTGAATAGTGAAAACCATTTGTTCTGTAAAGGGTGACTGTCAGATATGCTGCAATTCATGGTCTGCRGGTGAAATAATGGGAAAGAAAGAAAAGATTAATTAAACTGAAATCCGGAACTGTGGTACAAAGAACAATTTAGCATAGCAATTTCTACTTCCTCATCTCGATTATCTGAAGGGGTGGGGTAATTTAAWTAAAAAAATAAATTGAGAATTAATTCCATGGGGTTCTGGAAATGTATGAGTACTTTTAAAGATAAATCTATGGAAAGCTTTTAAAAAAAGATCAGCTTGAAGGATTTGACTGTGGAAGTTCTCCTCTGGTTCTTGGATAAACTTAAACTATAGGAATCTGATCTCAAGCAATGAAGAGAAAAATTCAGTTTCTTCAGTTCTTTATTTCCACTGAAGTCAAKCACAGCTAAAGCAGTGTTTCAGATTAAAATCCATGCAGTTCTGTGTGGTTCAAAACTTTGCACAGATCTTTTCCTTGGCTGTACAAAAGACCTTGCAGACCTAACTTTGGCAAAAAGGAGCATTATTGATTTCTTCCTCACGACCCAACTCACCTTCCATTCCAGATTATTATGATTAGGGAGAGAAGCAACAGGGTCAATCAATCAGAAAGTTGCTGGCAGAGAGTTGTAGCTGCCCCTCCAAAACATCCATCCCAGGCAAAAGCTGGGCATGGAAACRCAGAATTTACAAGTCCCTTTGAAGGCTGTTGGACCACCAGGGTTGAGATGCTGGACTTGAAAATGAAAAATTATTATAGCAAAACTATTGTAACCCTATGTCACTGGTGATGAACTGGAGGAGGCATCTGTTCAGCCAGGG